CGCGGTCAATAGAACCCAGAGGGTCCCGTGTTAAGTGAAATCCGCGTTAAGTGAACAACAGAACATATGGGATTAATTCCAATAGAAACCGGCCCGACCCCCAAACTCCACTTTTTGAAGACACATAACTATGTTGTAGTAAAAATAACATCTTAATTTTATGATGGTACATGCACACAATTAATACTTAAGAGAAATAGAGAAATACAGTCGCCAAGTTAATGTCCATTCAAATAATGGACTCAACTCCCTCCCCCTCTCACACTACACTGCCGGCTCTTCCCTCTCTGAGAAATTTTTGGGGGAAAACCACTAAATTTTAATAAATAATACCTCAAACTAAAGTTAGGATAATACAATTGACATTGCTGGATTCCTTGTAAGACCAGGAATATTTTGAATATAAATGTCATATATTTTGCACAAAAGATAACATAGTTACTCAGAAAATTTTTTTATCTAAAATTTGTATGTCTAATGCAAAATATATGATGTTTATATTCAAAATGATCACCAAATTATAAGAATTCCAGCAATGTAAATTATATTCTGGCCGGGTAATTTGTATGAATTTTATGAGCTAAAACAAATATCTTCAGTTAATAAAAAAAAAATAATCTTCACGACACTATATGTCAATCAAAGTACCCCACCTTGCCTCCCCCCTCTTCCAACCGCGCGGTCAGTCCCAACCCTCCCCCCCACCCCCCACCAATCATCCCTTCAAGAGAAGAGTGGGTGAAAAATTTAGAATTTAACATTTTGTATTAAATAATACCTCAGATTAAAGTTAGGATAATATAATTGACATTGCTGGATTCCTTGTAAGACCAGGAATATTTTGAATATAAATGTCATATATTTTGCACAAAAGATAACATAGTTACCTACAGAAAAAATTTTATCTAAAAATTGTATGTTTAATGCAAAATATATGATGTTTATATTCAAAATGATCACCAAATTATAAGAATTCCAGCAATGTAAATTATATTCTGACCGGGTAATTTGTATGAATTTTATGAGCTAAAACAAATATCTTCAGTTAATAAAAAAAAAATATATATTCTTCACAGGGTAACAGATGGTCGGTTGGTCCCTCCCTCCCCCCCCACCCCCCACCAACCGTCCCAAGGAGATGTGTGGGAAAACCAGAATACTTAACTTTTTTGTAATAAATAATACCTCAAACTAAAGTTAGGATAATATAATTGACATTGCTGGATTCCTTGTAAGACCAGGAATATTTTGAATATAAATGTCATATATTTTGCACAAAAGATAACATAGTTACCCAGAGAAAAAATGTTATCTAAAATTTGTATGTCTAATGCAAAATATATGATGTTTATATTCAAAATGATCACCAAATTATAAGAATTCCAGCAATGTAAATTATATTCTGGCCGGGTAATTTGTATGAATTTTATGAGCTAAAACAGGCAGTCAGGCAGGGTGGCGGGTGGGGCAAATCTAAAAATAGCGTCTCGAGCCGGACACTCACCGTGTATATGTGGAAAAAATCCGTGTTAAGTGAAAGTTCAGCTCTGGCGAGGCACCGCGTATATGATAAAACGCGTTAAGTGAAACCGCGTTAGGCGGGGTAATACTGTATATATATATATATATATGTATATATGTATATATATATATATATATATATATATATATATATATATATATATATATATATATATATATATATATATATATATATATATATATATATATATATATATATATATATATATATATATATATATATATATATATATATATATATATATATGTAACCGGTCGGAATTTACTGGACTTTAATTTCTCACTTGACTTGGGGTTTATTAAAAATTAATAGATGGTAATGGCAGTGGAAGCGCCCCTTTGAGAAAAATCCCGAACCAGCACAAGAACACTTAAATCTACTAAACAAAATGAATTGTCCGTGACCCGTGGAAGGATAGCGTCTGTGACTGGGATGAATGAGACACACTGTATAATTTAGACACTTATATTCCCTCCAACACTACAAGCACAATCAAATAATGGTACACCAATATGCGCACCTCTTAACTTGAACTTAAAACACTACTCTGGGGAATAAAAGTTATACATGATATAGAAATTATTAGAAACACAGGCAACAATAAATTTGAAGTATTAAGAAATGTTGCTTGCACACATGAACAGGCCTTAAGGGCTTTCACAAAATAATATCAGTCACTTAGGAAATGGTATTAAAAAATAAGAAATTAACTACTCTACAATGAATAGGCCTTAAGGGCTTTCAACAAAATAATAGCACCCCAACAGATGCACACTTCCTAACCTAACTTAACCACTACTCTGGGGAACAAGGTTATACCTGAGATCAGAATTATGAAGAACAATTAGATGCATTAAAAGAATCAAATCACAGTATCACTCTGGTTCCACTTAATGGCACAAACATTCAAAAACAATATTATCAAAATTATTTAGGACTATTAAACTACACACGTCAAGATAATATCAGTCTGAGGAATGGTGTTAACTACACCCGTAATAAGGGAGGGAAGATGTTCCTCTAGGTATCTCCTAGAGACCTAGACTCACGGTCTCAGTGTGTGACCATTAGTTTACTCAGATAGCCTCAGTGTACTCCCAGTGCGTCCATAAAGCGGAAGGGAGTGAGCCAATCAGACCTTGTACAGTTGAGAGAAACTTTAGCTTCCCGTTAGCAAGAGGGTTTCACTAAGCTGCTCGGGACATGTGGTGTTGTGCACCCGAGCGGTAAGAACTGATCACCCACTGTGGATGCTGGTCCAGTCGTTTTAGTTGTCGGAAGCACTCGTTCACTCAAGAGATCCTTTGCTACCCCGCTAAACAGTGACAGGCCTACACTGATCGGTCCAATGGCGACAATTGCCACCCTCAATCATCAACGGCAGTCTCAAACGGCAGTCAATCTCTCGCAGTCAACTCCGGTCAACTCCGGTCGTCTCCAGTCAAGTGGGTTCTGACGGAAACCCTGAAATGAACTCACTGTTAGCTCTAGTTTACTTTACCACTGCCCTATCTAACCCTGTCTGAGATCGCATGAGACTTACTTGTTATACGGCAATAGCAATAGCGCAACACAGGTGACTAGGCCACGTGACTATTTCTGTGACGGACGCGCAGGGACGTCTTGTTTTGTATGAATCCTCCCTGCGACTGAGGGCCAGCCAGCGTCGCGTCCTCTCAAGGCGTTAGCTTAGGCCTACGTGACATATTTTCCGCCTAACTAATAACTCCTTGGGACACCCGTAACATTATTCAGACTGATAAACGATCTATAATAATTTCAAATTCAATAATAGTCCCTTACTTCATGAATCGCATCATTATTAATTCGGTAAATTACATTTAATATCATATAGGCCTAGTTCTGCAATCTCTCGCTATGAGCAGGCAGCGCTCTCTCCCCTCAGATGACCTTGAACGCTCAGTATCGCTAATGGCGGGGCATTTGAAATTAATCTGAAATTTCTGAATATATATATATATATATATATATATATATATATATATATATATATATATATATATATATATATATATATATATATATATATATATATATATATATATATATATATATATATACACAGGGTGTCCCATAAATTTCCATACAGAGGAAAAATAAATTTTATATGAAAATCCACTTTTATTTATATAATATGCTCTACATGACTACCATTCTGTTGAAAACACTCTTCAATGTGTGTCCTCCACTGCTGAAGAACACGTTCAAGCACAGCTGGAGTTATGCTTGTAATGGCGTTGGTGATACGTTGTATGGAAACCTATGGGACACCCTGTATATACATAGGAGGGTGAGATGAAGTCCACAATGGTCAGGTATTAGGTAATGACCCCACTAATCTTCAAAAAGCACCGCAGCAGTCGGTAGTCAGGTCAGATGGTAAGATGACCCAACCTTCTCACCTGGTTACAAATCTTCTTAATTACGAAATTATCCAGTTTGTACATACCATTACTCAAATTTATGTTGACGGATTCGGTATGTTTAATGAGACTGGATTCTATAATGTTCCTACTGTCAATTGAATTACAAGGTAATATGAGGAGGCATTATCCCAGTCAATGCAATGCTTATTATCCCTCAAATAAACAAACAGAGCATTGGATTCCTGGCCTGTCCTAACACTACGGTATATTTATGTTGTTTAAGTCTAGTTACAAGATCTTTACCTGTCTGGCCTAAGTAAAACATATTACATTCCTTGCAAGAAACCTTATAAATGCTTGTTGGGGGAGTTCTTGTTTAACATTTGTTTAACAGTGCATGAGTTTTTAAATGCCACATTGACGTTCCAGGTTTTTGTCGTAAAGGCAAACATATAAAGGAAATATAAATTTCTTTGCACATGAGTACAGTATAAATGTACCGCCCCCTCCCCCAGGGTCAGCAAATGTTATTCGTGGCCATTTTGAGAACCTAACCCCAGGAATTTGAAGAGCATGTTATAATCGATTACAGTATTTATACTTGAAATAGTTCCTACCAGCATGCAAGACCATACAGTTTTCCACATCATTTTCTGTAAGATCTTTCCCCACAACTTTCATGTAAGATTCTTCTCACCAGTGTGTAAAGACATATGTTTCGTCAGTTCACCTTTTCTGGAAAAACTTTTACCACACACTTCACACTTAAAATTCTTCTCACCAGTGTGTACAACCATATGGCTCTTCAGTTCACCTTTTCTGGAATAACTTTTACCACACTCTCCACACTTAAAATTCTTCTCACCAGTGTGTACAACCATATGGCTCTTCAGATGGGTTTTTGTGAAATAACTTTTACCACACTCTCCACACTTAAAATTCTTCTCACCAGTGTGTACAACCATATGCTTCTTCAGATAGCGCTTTACGGAATAACTTTTACCACACTTCACATAAAATTCTTCTCACCAGTGTGTACGCTCCCATATAGCTCTTAGATGGGTTTTTGTGAAATAACTTTACCACACTCTCCACCTTAAATTCTTCTCACCAGTGTGTACAACCATATGGCTCTTCAGATGGGTTTTTGTGAAATAACTTTTACCACACTCTCCACACTTAAAATTCTTCTCACCAGTGTGTACAACCATATGGCTCTTCAGGTCGTTCTTTCTGTGATAACTTTTACCACACTCTCCACACTTAAAATTCTTCTCACCAGTGTGTACAACCATATGGTTCTTCAGATGGATCTTCGTGTAATAACTTTTACCACACTCTTCACACTTAAAATTCTTCTCACCAGTGTGTACAACCATATGCTTCTTCAGATAGCGCTTTACGGAATAACTTTTACCACACTCTTCACACTTAAAATTCTTCTCACCAGTGTGTACAACCATATGGCTCTTCAGTTCACCTTTTCTGGGATAACTTTCACCACACTCTTCACACTTAAAATTCTTCTCACCAGTGTGTACAACCATATGGCTCTTCAGATGGGTTTTTGTGAAATAACTTTTACCACACTCTCCACACTTAAAATTCTTCTCACCAGTGTGTACAACCATATGGCTCTTCAGGTCGTTCTTTCTGTGATAACTTTTACCACACTCTCCACACTTAAAATTCTTCTCACCAGTGTGTACAACCATATGGTTCTTCAGATGGATCTTCGTGTAATAACTTTTACCACACTCTTCACACTTAAAATTCTTCTCACCAGTGTGTACAACCATATGCTTCTTCAGATAGCTCTTTCTGGAATAACTTTTACCACACTCTTCACACTTAAAATTCTTCTCACCAGTGTGTACAACCATATGGCTGTTCAGATGGCTCTTCCTGTAATAACTTTTACCACACTCTCCACACTTAAAATTCTTCTCACCAGTGTGTACAACCATATGATTCTTCAGATGGGTCTTTGTGAAATAACTTTTACCACACTCTCCACACTTAAAATTCTTCTCACCAGTGTGTACAACCATATGCTTCTTCAGATGGCTCTTCCTGTAATAACTTTTACCACACTCTCCACACTTAAAATTCTTTTCACCAGTGTGTACAACTATTTGTTCCTTTAGTTGTCCCTTTTGGTTATAACTTTGACCACTTTCCAGACATTTACGAGTTTTCTCATCAACAGTCACATGTCGTGTTACATCATAGTTACTGTTAAAACTTTCATCAAACTCTTCACACTTAATATCTTTCTCATCAACAGTCACATGTTGTGTCACATCATAGTTACTGTTAAAACTTTCATCAAACTCTTCACACTTAATATCTTTCTCATCAACAGTCACATGTTGTGTCACATCAAAGTTACTGTTAAAACTTTCATCAACTTCTTCATACTTAATATTTATCTCATCAATGTGTTCGGCCATACAGGTATGCATCTTCAGAGAATCACTACTGTAAAATAAATCACCACACTGTACACACTCATAATTATTTTGGCCACCATGTCCAGCTATTTGATTCATAAACTGGGCCATCTTTTACAAACTTTACAACACTCCATACTAGAAAATATTTCCCTCAGTGTACACACTTTTGGGTAACTTTTGACTGTATAAAAAAGTTATCCACTCTTCACAGCTAAATTTGCATTAATAATTCTGCACATGTATGTGGTTCTTGAGCTCACTATTGTATGAGGAATATTTACAAGAAAACTTTGTCTCACCAGTATACAAGCACGGCAGACAAACACTTGTCGCATTTATATAATGGAACGCTTATCAGCAGTGTACACAGGCATAAGAGTCACAAGGTAGTTGTTTAGGTAGAAACATTGCAACCCTCATCATACTGTATTTAAACAATATATAACACAGTGCACCACTTAATTGGTATTTTCAGGAGAAGATTCACTTGTGTGAATGTTCTTTTTATTCTCACTGTTTCCTAGAACACCAACTTGCCTTTCAAATTTGTAACTTAAGACTTGGAGAGTTGACAATTTACCTTAATCTTGCTTACAATGTTCTTTTGAAGATGTTCACTAATCCTCATACTGTACTGACTTATTGTACAGTTGTGAGGAATTGTTCTGCCTCCTGTTTTATACAGCTTTAATCTTGTGTTGTGGTGGGAGATGTTTGTGTGGGGTGGCCTCCTGTATCTTTCTTATGTCCATCCACTCGCATCTTTATATCTGAAATAATGTGGAAACAATTTTATAATGTGCATCTTGCAGGAGCTACCTTGTGTCATTCCAAGTGTCAAGGAAGTGCCCACCTACTCAAGACTTTGGGAGGAAAAAATTACTTTCCACAAAGAGCAATAAATCCTACAGAACTGTTCAGCAAGTGAAGGGAGAGTGAAGTCACAACATCAGATTGTTATAAATTTCTGTACAATGTAGCAAATAAATAATTCTTACTTATAAAGAATAATATTAACTGCATTACCTATGTGACTAAATTACTAATACAGGTTGTACCTCTCTAATCCGGCAACCTCGGGACCTGACCGGTGCCGGACCATGGAAATTGCCGGACCATGGAAATTCACCCTTTTCCTGGATAGATAGTGACTTGTGCTTATGCCTGGAAGCACTAGCACCACTTTCTCTGCGTTATGGTCTCTTTGAAGACATATTGAAGGGTTAAATGTCGCATAGTAGCTTCTCAAATTTTGCGAGTTTTTAATTCTTAATGTATTTTATTGGAACACACAAAAAAATAAATAAATAAAAATTTTGACGGCGGAAACTTGAATTTCAACGGGTTTGAACGGCCCGCCAACGTGCAGATGACGTGCATAATCGTATAAACAGCGTCATTTCTCTTATGTACAAAAGATTCATTGTTGTTTATTACTGAATGTCTTTTTTATTGAATTAATGTTTATGTGTGCAAAATGAGCAATACAATTCATTAATAATATGTAGAATATTAAAACACACGAGGAAATGACACAGCATTGTTTTCGTTGATTACAAAACCAGTGACTGACTGGTTCTACATATAAAACTGAAGAAAATAAGACCATGGTTGTAGCTGTAGTAAAATTAATATGGTTGTTTTAAGTAATGTTATTTAATGTTAATAAATGGAAAAATAGAAGTAGCTAACGATAATGGTAAAGAAAAAGAGAGATCGCATATGTAAGTGCGCATGCGCACACGTGAAAACATATCGTCATTACTTTACATAAGAATATGAAAGCAACACTTATTTACTGTTCATATATATTTTAATTAATGTTTCTGAATTTGTTTTTATTGAATCAATGTACGTGTGTGCAAAATTAACAATACAATTTATTAATAATACGTGGAATATTAGAGGAGACGAGACGGCTGCCGGCATTGTTTATGTTAAAGCTTACGAAACCAGTGACTGATTGGTTCTACATATAAAACTGAAGAAAATAAGACCCTGAGTAGTCATTCAGATTTAACTGTTACCTAGTTCAAGATAAGGCCAGGCCAAGGTGCAAATATTACAAGGGAAATTACAATGGGATGAGGGAAGAGATGAGGGGTATCAACTGGCCTGACTTATTAAGGTACAAGAACGCAGACACTACGCTGAATATCATAACTAGTAAAATGACCCATTTGATCGATAAATATATACCCAAGACCAAACCCAGTGCTTCTAGAAATACGAGGGGATCCCTACACATGAACCATGCGGCGGTCGACAAAATTAAGAAGAAAACCCAGAAATTCAAGACGTGGGTTGGGTCAAACGATGAGCAAGACAGGAGGATGTATGCAAGAGCCAGAAACCAAGCAAAGATGGAGTGTAGGAGGGCTGAAAAGGAGTTCCAAAGGCTGGTTGCACGCGAGGTCAAGTCAAACCCAAAGGCGTTTTACCGCTATGCAAAGTTGAAATTGAAAACGCGAGTAGGAGTATCAGACCTGAGGCTTGAAGATGGTAGTTACGCAGATTCTGACCAGGATAAAGCTGAGGCATTGAACAGCTTCTTTTCCTCAGTGTTCACAAGAGAGGATGCAACTAACCTTCCTGCGTTTGAGGACAGACGGTTCGACACAGCACTGACCCACATTGTGTTCACAGAAGAGGGTATTAGAAATAAACTGTCCAGGCTAAAGGTCCATAAGAGTCCTGGACCTGACATGGTGCATCCTAGAGTGCTAAGGGAGCTGTGCAACGAGCTTGCAGAGCCCCTGAAGATTCTGTTTTGTAAATGCCTGGATGAACAAATGGTCCCCAGTGAATGGAAAGTGGCTTATGTGAGTCCTATCTTCAAGAAGGGCGATAGGCACTCCACAAACAACAATAGACCGGTGAGCCTGACCAGCATAATATGTAAAGTACTTGAGAGTATTATCAGAGATGCAGCGATGGAACATCTACTACGAAACAACCTTGTAAAAGATTGCCAACACGGTTTTATGCCGGGGCGCTCTTGCTTGACACAATTGCTCAAGGTATTGGATATTTGGACCCATATTCTAGAACGGGGTGGTAATATCGACAATATTTACCTAGATTTTGCCAAGGCTTTCGACAGTGTACCCCACGAAAGGCTGAAAATCAAACTGGAAGGGTACGGAATTCGGGGAAATGTCCTAGCGTGGATAGAAGACTTTCTACATGACCGCAAGCAATGTGTGGTGATTAATGGCACGAAATCGTCATCTGTACCTGTAACAAGTGGGGTACCGCAGGGTAGTGTATTGGGCCCGCTGTTGTTTGTTTGTTTCATAAATGATATGCCTGACGTTGTACACTCCTCCATACAAATGTTTGCCGATGACGCCAAGTTATTTCGGGAAATTAAGAACCAAGCGGACTGTGAAGAGCTGCAGAAGGACCTCTGTGGGCTCCAGGAATGGTCGAAGGAATGGCTGCTGAGATTCAATGTCACGAAGTGTAAGAGGATGCACCTGGGGTGTACCAACGGTAAGGAGGCATACCATATGTCCCAACGGGATGAAGAAAATGTACTAGTTGAGACTGTGTGTGAGAAGGACCTAGGTGTGTATGTTGACAATGAGCTGAAGTTCTCGGGCCATTGTGAGAAGAAGGTAAATCAGGCAAATAAATTATTGGGTCTTATAAGAAGGTCGTTCAGATATCTAGACGGTCCGTCCCTCGTGACGATCTTCAGGAGTGAAGTGCTTCCCCATCTGGAGTACTGTCACCCCATCTGGTCCCCGAGATATGCTAGGGACTGTCAGTTGGTTGAAAATGTTCAAAGGAGGGCCACCAAACTGGTGCCTGCACTTCGGCATCTCAGCTACCCTGAGAGATTGGAGCGCCTGAACTTGCCTAGCTTATACTACAGACGGGCAAGGGGGGACCTAGTTGAGGTTTATAAGCATCTCAGGGGGCACTACTCAGTTGAGTGTCCTTACTTGGAGCTGGCGGACGCTCGCCCCACAAGGGGTCACAGCTCAAGATTGAAGAAGCCGCAAGTCCAGAAAACCGTGAGGGCAAACTTTTTCGGAGTGAGGGTTGTAAACTCTTGGAACAATCTACCAGAGAGTGTTGTGACGGCACTGAGTGTGAGCTCTTTCAAGACCAGACTTGACCAACACTGGAGCGGGTTCAGGTACATTCAGGAGCCGGTGCATGCCCAGTATTTGCCAACAGTGCGTGACAGAGACGTGACCGATCGCCCGGGCGGCTAGCGAGCCGACCTTTTGGTGAAGAATATAAAGGAAAAGAGACGTGACCGATCGCCCAAGCGGCTAACAAGCCGATCAGTGGCGAAGAGGATAAAAGTAAAAGCAAAAGTAAAAGTAGTAAAATTAATGTAAAAAATGAATATGGTTGCTTGAAGTACCTGTAATGTTATTTAATGTTAATAAATGGAACAATATAAGTAGCTAACCATTAATGGTAAAAAAAAAAAGTGAGACTGCTCGTATGTAAGTGCGCACATGTGAAAATATATCGTCAGTACTCTACATAAGAATATGAAAGCAACACTTATTTACTGCTCATATATATTGAAGGGTTAAATGTTGTACTCTGTATAGACAAGCAGAGAGAGAGAGAGAGAGCAGCCGAACTGCCGGATGTAAACAAACGTTAATTTACCGCGGCTTTTTTTTTTTTAAGGGGATTAGCCCACCCGGGCATAGGTCACTGACCCACATTGGGGCCTGAGGGGCAAAAATTTAATACTCCTGTAATAATAATAATAATTCAGATAAGTAAAAAAAAAAAACTGCCTATCTACCTATTGGACAAACTAAAATCGTTCCGGACCACAGAATGCCAGACTAGAGAGGTAAAACCTGTATCTACAAAAAAGGTAGTACAGTACAGCATTACAATACACGGTCTTCACAATAGGTTAAGACAGGTTTGGTTGGTTTACAAAATTGTAACAGCACTTTGCTTAATATAAATATACCCCTAACTCCAAGTATTTCATTAAATTATTCAACATGTGATTCACCATATTGTTTATGACTAGATCACAGAGGTTGCATCTATCGCTGGGCTCAAGCCAGGGTCAGTGGATTCAGTAACCAATGCTAACTTGCTACCACTCTCTCACACCCCAGAGAGGGGCAGTTCTCTCCATACCACTAGACAGGAAAGTTCACACTTAATAGAAGTGATATTTACAACACTTCCCTGGAGATTATTCACAATATATTCTCTCAGATTATAGCTGCATATAAACCTGCTCTCAGCAATAAAACAGAAAATGCCAAGAAGTGTTTACATCAAGACCTGCCACTTAAAAGTTCAAAACTTAATTAAAGCAATTAGTATCATACCAAACCAGCTGTCATCTGTTCCATGTATATATTTGAAGTGTACTTCCTCAACAGATTTGCATTCTATGTATTAAAACAACCATACCAGTTAAAATACCATTACACATCACCTACATACTTCAAAGTGCTGTTTTCACCTTGTAAACGTTCATACAATAGATCAGAGGTCACCAAACTTTTTTCACAGTGGGCCGGATAACTGAAAGAATGACGAGCGCGGGCCGCATAATCATTCTGTTCAATACTTGCAAGCCAGAACGAAAGCTCTGGGAAAAAAGACGAAAAACCATGGTAACGTCAGATCGTAGGCGGAGCTACCACGAGCCGGGGAAGGACTTGGGATGGCGCGAAATAAGCAAACATTACAATAAACAAGAAAATCTAGATACAATAATTTAAAATTTAAAATAGTAAATTTAAGGCACATAGCAGTCAGGAGGTCTCCGCACGCGTGAAGATCTCCTAGTATTCTAAACATAATATTTAAATTTAAATTCTATCACGTCTCGTGTTCCATACGTTTTATCAAGCAAATTCAAGTACCGTCGGCGGGCCTGATGAACTGACGTCGCCGAGCCGTAGTTTGGTGACCCCTGCATTAGATGGAGGTTCGGCCAGGGAAGTGTCAGTGTGGACCTGGGTACAGCACTTGGATGAATCAATAAACCTTTACTGAGTGAACACAATGATCTGGTTCTCCATGATGTGTCATCATCCCAGAATGTAGGAAAAAAGTCACAAACCTTAACCTAACTTAACATTATTTAGGCTGTTTAAAAGATGTGTTTATATCCCTGACTTTTTCTAACCCAAATTGTGACTTTCTTTCCAGACACCTGAGCTCATCCCTCCCCCTAAACAGAAGATGTCATCATAAGTGAGGAACAACTCTCCTGGCACTGAAACTTTGGATGATAAAAGTACATCCTCTCTAGAGGAAGTTAGTTGACTCAATATAAAAACATCTCTGACATAAGCAAGAAAAATGTACCACATCAATATTCAGAGGAGGAAATAACCTCTTGAGATTTAGTAACATGAAGCAAATTAGGTCAGGTTTAATATCATAACATTATTGTGTAGAACCTAATAAAACTTGACCTAACATACCCAACTATGGGTATGTTAGGTCAGGTTTAATATCATGATATTAGTGTGTAGAAAATAATAAAACCTGACCTAACATACCCATAGTTGGGTATGTTAGGTCAGGTTTAATATCATGATATTATTGTGCAGAGCCGAATAAAACCTGACCTAACATACCCAACTATGGGTATGTTAGGTCAGGTTTAATATCATATTATTGTGTAGAACCTAATAAAACGTGACCTAACATACCCAACTATGGGTATGTTAGGTCAGGTTTAATATCATATTATTGTGTAGAACCTAATAAAACGTGACCTAACATACCCAACTATGGGTATGTTAGGTCAGGTTTAGTATCATACAGTATTATTTTTGTAGACTAAATTCTAACCAATTCAACAAACTCCTTCTGGTGGTAGCCGTTATCTACACCTTTACCATAAACTGTATATATAAGTCATACATAATTTAATAAACAACTCACAGTGTTAATGACGTAGTTAAGTATTAAATCCTCCAAGTTTTTATTTTAAGTAACACATTTTAGTCGACTTAATGTTTACAAGTGAGGCGATGAACACTGTTAATAACTTACCACGAACATCTTGCAACTCAACTTCACCTAATATAATAATTATAAACTAACATCACATAGTTTAAACAGTTATTATTATATACTTAATATTATCTGAAAAAAAAACTTTACTCTGCTACTGATACACCTTTTTATAATTGTATTACATCTACTTCTTACTGTATTATAAACTGAACACTAAGTAATAATAAACTATCATTTGTAGTTATAGTAACACTAAGTAATAAGAAACTATTTTCAGGTAGTTATAGTAACACTAAGTAATAATAAACTATTATCAGGTAGTTATAGTAACACTAAGTAATAAGAAACTATTATCAGGTAGTTATAGTAACACTAAGTAATAATAAACTATCATCAGGTAGTTATAGTAACACTAAGTAATAATAAACTATCATTAGGTAGTTATTAGTAACACTAGGTAATAATAAACTATCATCAGGTAGTTATAGTAACACTAAGTAATAATAAACTATCATTAGGTAGTTATTAGTAACACTAAGTAATAATAAACTATTATCAGGTAGTTATAGTAACACTAAGTAATAAGAAACTATTATCAGGTAGTTATAGTAACACTAAGTAATAATAAACTATCATTAGGTAGTTATAGTAACACTAGGTAATAATAAACTATCATCAGGTAGTTATAGTAACACTAGGTAATAATAAACTATCATCAGGTAGTTATTAGTAACACTAGGTAATAATAAACTATCATCAGGTAGTTATAGTAACACTAAGTAATAATAAACTATTATCAGGTAGTTATAGTAACACTAAGTAATAAGAAACTATTATCAGGTAGTTATAGTAACACTAAGTAATAATAAACTATCATCAGGTAGTTATAGTAACACTAAGTAATAATAAACTATCATTAGGTAGTTATAGTAACACTAAGTAATAATAAACTATCATCGGGTAGTTATTAGTAACACTAGGTAATAATAAACTATCATTAGGTAGTTATTAGTAACACTAGGTAATAATAAACTATCATTAGGTAGTTATTAGTAACACTAGGTAATAATAAACTATCATCAGGTAGTTATAGTAACACTAGGTAATAATAAACTATCATTAGGTAGTTATAGTAACACTAAGTAATAATAAACTATTATCAGGTAGTTATAGTAACACGAGGTAATAATAAACTATCATCAGGTAGTTATAGTAACACTAGGTAATAATAAACTATCATCAGGTAGTTATAGTAACACTAGGTAATAATAAACTATCATCAGGTAGTTATAGTAACACTAAGTAATAATAAACTATCATTAAGTAGTTATTAGTAACACTAGGTAATAATAAACTATCATTAGGTAGTTATTAGTAACACTAGGTAATAATAAACTATCATTAGGTAGTTATAGTAACACTAGGTAATAATAAACTATCATCAGGTAGTTATAGTAACACTAGGTAATAATAAACTATCATCAGGTAGTTATAGTAACACTAAGTAATAATAAACTATCATCAAATTTTCAGTGACACAATTGCTCAAGGTATTGGATATTTGGACCTATATTCTAGAACGGGGTGGTAATATCGACAATATTTACCTAGATTTTGCCAAGGCTTTCGACAGTGTACCCCACGAAAGGCTGAAAATCAAACTGGAAGGGTACGGAATTCAGGGAAATGTCCTAGCGTGGATAGAAGACTTTCTACATGACCGCAAGCAATGTGTGGTGATTAATGGCACGAAATCGTCATCTGTACCTGTAACAAGTGGGGTACCGCAGGGTAGTGTATTGGGCCCGCTGTTGTTTGTTTGTTTCATAAATGATATGCCTGACGTTGTACCCTCCTCCATACAAATGTTTGCCGATGATGGCAAGTTATTTCGGGAAATTAAGAACCAAGCGGACTGTGAAGAGCTGCAGAAGGACCTCTGTGGGCTCCAGGAATGGTCGAAGGAATGGCTGCTGAGATTCAATGTCACGAAGTGTAAGAGGATGCACCTGGGGCGTACCAACGGTAAGGAGGCGTACCATATGTCCCAACAGGATGAAGAAAATGTACTAGTTGAGACTGTGTGTGAGAAGGACCTAGGTGTGTATGTTGACAATGAGCTGAAGTTCTCGGGCCATTGTGAGAAGAAGGTAAATCAGGCAAATAAATTATTGGGTCTTATAAGAAGGTCGTTCAGATATCTTGACGGTCCGTCCCTCGTGACGATCTTCAGGAGTGAAGTGCTTCCCCATCTGGAGTACTGTCACCCCATCTGGTCCCCGAGATATGCTTGGGACTGTCAGTTGGTTGAAAATGTTCAAAGGAGGGCCACCAAGCTGGTGCCTGCACTTCGGCATCTCAGCTACCCTGCGAGATTGGAGCGCCTGAACTTGCCTAGCTTATACTACAGACGGGCAAGGGGGACCTAGTTGAGGTTTATAAGCATCTCAGGGGGCACTACTCAGTTGAGTGTCCTTACTTGGAGCTGGCGGACGCTCGCCCCACAAGGGGTCACAGCTCAAGATTGAAGAAGCCGCAAGTCCGGAAAACCGTGAGGGCAAACTTTTTCGGAGTGAGGGTTGTAAACTCTTGGAACAATCTACCAGAGAGTGTTGTGACGGCACCGAGTGTGAGCTCTTTCAAGAGAAGACTTGACCAACACTGGAGCGGGTTCAGGTACATTCAGGAGCCGGTGCATGCCCAGTATTTACCAACAGTGCGTGACAGAGACGTGACCGATCGCCCGGGCGGCTAGCAGACCGACCTTTGAGTGAAAGAATATAAAGGAAAGAGTCGTGACCGATCATAGAAGCGAAGCTAACAAAGCCGATCAGTGGCGAGAAGGATAAAAAGTAAAAAGTAAAAAAAAAAGTAAAACTGAGTAATAATAAACTATAATTAGAGTGATTATTATTGGCACTAAGGTAATAATAAACTATCAATAGTGATACCGTAACTAGGTAATAATAAACTATCATCCAAATTGATTATAGTAACACAGAGTAATAATATATAAACTAGCTAATAATTAGGTAGTTATTAGTAACACTAGGTAATAATAAACTATCAATAGGTAGTTATAGTAACACTAGGTAATAATAAACTATCATCAGGTAGTTATAGTAACACTAAGTAATAATAAACTATCATCAGGTAGTTATAGTAACACTAGGTAATAATAAACTATTATCAGGTAGTTATAGTAACACTAAGTAATAATAAACTATCATCAGGTAGTTATAGTAACACTAGGTAATAATAAACTATCATTAGGTAGTTATAGTAACACTAAGTAATAATAAACTATCATCGGGTAGTTATTAGTAACACTAGGTAATAATAAACTATCATTAGGTAGTTATTAGTAACACTAGGTAATAATAAACTATCATTAGGTAGTTATTAGTAACACTAGGTAATAATAAACTATCATCAGGTAGTTATAGTAACACTAGGTAATAATAAACTATCATTAGGTAGTTATTAGTAACACTAGGTAATAATAAACTATCATCAGGTAGTTATAGTAACACTAAGTAATAATAAACTATCATCAGGTAGTTATAGTAACACTAGGTAATAATAAACTATCATCAGGTAGTTATTAGTAACACTAGGTAATAATAAACTATCATTAGGTAGTTATTAGTAACACTAGGTAATAATAAACTATCATCAGGTAGTTATAGTAACACTAGGTAATAATAAACTTTCATCAGGTAGTTATTAGTAACACTAGGTAATAATAAACTATCATTAGGTAGTTATTAGTAACACTAGGTAATAATAAACTATCATCAGGTAGTTATAGTAACACTAGGTAATAATAAACTATCATCAGGTAGTTATTAGTAACACTAGGTAATAATAAACTATCATTAGGTAGTTATTAGTAACACTAGGTAATAATAAACTATCATCAGGTAGTTATAGTAACACTAGGTAATAATAAACTATCATCAGGTAGTTATTAGTAACACTAGGTAATAATAAACTATCATCAGGTAGTTATAGTAACACTAAGTAATAATAAACTATCATCAGGTAGTTATAGTAACACTAGGTAATAATAAACTATCATCAGGTAGTTATAGTAACACTAGGTAATAATAAACTATCATCAGGTAGTTGTAGTAACACTAAGTAATAATAAACTATCATCAGGTAGTTATAGTAACACTAGGTAATAATAAACTATCATCAGGTAGTTATTAGTAACACTAAGTAATAATAAACTATCATCGGGTAGTTATTAGTAACACTAGGTAATAATAAACTATCATTAGGTAGTTATTAGTAACACTAGGTAATAATAAACTATCATTAGGTAGTTATTAGTAACACTAGGTAATAATAAACTATCATCAGGTAGTTATAGTAACACTAGGCAATAATAAACTATCATCAGGTAAAGTATAGTACTAGGCACAATAAACTATCATCAGGTAGTTATAGTAACACTAGGTAATAATAAACTATCATCAGGTAGTTGTTAGTAACACTAGGTAATAAGAAACTATCATTAGGTAGTTATAGTAACACTAAGTAATAATAAACTATCATCAGGTAGTTATAGTAACACTAGGTAATAATAAACTATCATTAGGTAGTTATAGTAACACTAGGTAATAATAAACTATCATCAGGTAGTTATAGTAACACTAAGTAATAATAAACTATCATCAGGTAGTTATAGTAACACTAAGTAATAATAAACTATCATCAGGTAGTTATAGTAACACTAAGTAATAATAAACTATTATCAGGTAGTTATAGTAACACTAAGTAATAATAAACTATTATCAGGTAGTTATAGTAACACTAAGTAATAATAAACTATTATCAGGTAGTTATAGTAACACTAAGTAATAATAAACTATCATTAGGTAGTTATAGTAACACTAAGTAATAATAAACTATCATCGGGTAGTTATAGTAACACTAGGTAATAATAAACTATCATTAGGTAGTTATAGTAACACTAAGTAATAATAAACTATCATCAGGTAGTTATTAGTAACACTAGGTAATAATAAACTAT